GCTAAATCCCCGGGCCTTTTTTTTTTTTTTTTTTTTTTTTTTTTTTTTTTTTTTTTTTGAGACAGTGTCTTACTGTGTAGTTCAGGCTAGCCTGTCTCACTGTATAGCCCAGGCTGGCCTCAAACTCGTGGCAATTCTGATGCCTCAGCTTTCCAAGTGCTGGGGTTACAGGTGTGCAGCACTATACCCAGCTGGATATAACCAGTTCTTGACTCTCAGAAGTAGTCCTTTTTATATACCTTTACACTATCAGATACACTACAATGTCAGGCTCCAGAGACCAGCTCCCCTAAGATGTCCAACCTTTAAAGCATCTCTTAGTTCCACTGTTTTTTAATAAATGCAGTATGGGAGTTGCATCCAGGGCCTTACACATGGTGGGATTACTGACATGCGCCATCACACCCAACTATAAAATGCGTATTTTAAAAGTCTAAAACAAGATCCTTCAATGACCATAAAGTTCTAAACAATGTAGAAAACAGGTTAGAAACATGTGCATCCTCTCCAGTAGTGTTTGCTTTCACAAAGTGGTCTTGACTACATAAGCAGTCATCTTGCATATAATTCTGTTCTTGAACATCTAAGTGATTGGCATTCCTTCCCAGCCAGCATAAAAACATAACAAGTACTGCCATAAAAGGGAAAAGTTTGCTTATTCTGAAAGGCATTTTAGCAGGAAAGAAGACAAGAACATCTTCTGAAGTATAATGAATTCTTCATATTGTCATTGTGTACTGTACTAATAGTGTGGCCCCTAGTGCACCTGTTAATCATTTCTGTGCAGTAAGCCCCAACTTACAAGCATTCGCAGATGTGAACAAATCCCCGAGTAATTCACGTCTGCTGGACACTGTCACATTTGTGCTGCTCTTTGCTTACTGTACAGTGTTATAGTACATAGTAGTACAGTGGTCAGTTGGAGCTCAGGATGTCCAGAAGCAAGAGGAAAAGCAGTAGTGATGTGGAGGGGATTGCTAGGCAGCACAAAGCTATATACAGTATATATTTGTATTAAGGGTGTATATGACTCACTTTGACACTTAAATAAATGCAACTTAACAAATGTCCTCCTGGAACAGAACTCATAAGTTGAAGACTTATGTATTCTTATCTTAGTGATAATCTTAACAAGGAAGCAGCTATGCTGGTAGATAAATGGATTATTACTGGCCACAGTTCTGGCAAAAACCTTTTGCATGTATTGTGTATGATAGCTAGTGCTCAGACTATCGTTTGGTCCCACAGCTTAAACTTGGCATGATGAAAAATGAAATGTTTTCCCAAAAATACTGTTTCTACATGTGACAAATTTTGTGTGTAAAGCATCTTCTATAGAGTGACTTTGCTTTAGGGATGAGAGGCAAAGGGAAATACTCTTTTGAGTACTGGACCCAGCAGTATCTAGAAGCAGATGGTAGATACACAGGAAGTTGTATAGGCACTATTTTACACACTGCTAAGTAATACCTTGAATGAAATTCTACCTCTACAATTAGAATGGTGTTGCTGATTTTTGTTGCTTTTTTTTTTACTTTATTTTTTTTAGGATGTAGAACAAAAGAAGAGTGGAAACTACTTTTTCTTGGATGATTAGACTGAATCTGAGAATTACTGATAAGCCATTTAATGAAAAGAAACATTTACTGGGATTTTTGTCATATAAGACTGCAGATTTTATGGCCCCATATACTCAAGTTTGAAGGATGATTTACTTAAAGTAACATCAAAAGCCAGTTGTATTGCAAAATTGTAGTTTGAATGCAGAAAATTGCACTTTTCTGTTCTTAAAAAGGCCATTTTTGTGCATAATGACATTTCATACTAAACAGATTACCTCCAAGTTTTCGTGACATATGGGAAGTTTTTCAATAGGTGTATTATATTCACGTTATCAAATGCTGACCAATGTTGCCCCTTTTAAATTCTCGAAAAAGATTCCTGAATATACCTGGTTTGCCAAGTATGCCAGTATAATGAAACTACCCTTTTTTAAAAACTACAGTAGTCAGAGACTATACCAATAAGATTTCAAAATAAACATCAGGATATTTGTTTTCAGTCCTTACACTGAAAATCAGTGTATGGTTTCCAGGAAAGATTGTCTACCACAAAACACCACTGTTGGAAAATGGGTGTTTGTTACCAGCTTACACATTTTTTTAAAATGTTTTTGGTGCTTTTGAACATCGTCAAGAATCATTTCATTGCCCCCTCAAGGAAAAAAAAAACTTACTTTGGATTTTCAGTTTTTGCATTCTATAAGTCTATTCTGTAGTTATTCTCAAAGTAATGTCATTTTTTAAACATACATTTATATAATCACTGATCAAGATTTAAGAAAAAGCATTGCTAAAGAATGTTTACTTCCCTTGTAACTAGACTCAAAATCTTTAGATTTGGTGCCTGAAATCTATGTATTTTTAAAACTAGATTTTTTCTGTGGGCAGCCAATGATTATAAACCACTTCCCCAATGGCAACATAAATGCAAGAGATGAGATAGCAATACAAAGTATCAGTTGGTACCAAATATATTTTCTGAGTTTGGATGTAAAAAACATTATCTGAACCTTGTTAATGCACTGAACTGGAATTAACTTATGAGTGAGAGTTTATTATAAACTATTGGCATATGTAAAGCAAGAAAATTAGAAATTACTTGTCAAGACTTTTAGAGCTCCTTGAGATGACAGAAGCCTTGATTAATTGCAAACAGTGGATGGAAAGTTTGGTTTAAGTGGACCTCGTTAGGCCTTCTAAAAATAAATTTATGTGCAGAATCCATGTACATTTCTGTTGTGAAAAATTAAAGTATACAGAAATATATGGAATAAAAACAGTCTCCCTTCATTACCCTACCAGGGGTTACCAGTGTTTTGAGTTTATTCTTTCATGTTTTTCTATGCAATTAACCTGAGTGTGAATATGTAAAGTGTTTGTTTTGTACATATGTGGGATTGCACTAAAGTAGGTTCTGTTTTCAAGGATAGCTTAAGTGTGTGATTATTTCGAGTATGTTTAATAAAACAAGACCGGCACTATTTTTATTCCCTATTCCATCGTAAAAAAAGCATACAACATAATAAAAGGACCGTTCTTTTTACTTATTGCTGATGACAGAATGTGTTATGTTTATGCAAGTGAAATTTAAAAATTTATGATTAAGATGTTGGAATTTTACATAGCAATAGAGAGGCCTGCATTTGTTAACATGAGTCTGTCTATAAAATCAGTGTAACCATTGCCAACTAATATCGATGCAAATGTTGGGTGTTGAAAGGTCTCTAAGACACTAAAAGAGCAAGGTGCCACACAGTTTGTAAAAAACACTGCTGTACATGGGCATTTTAAGGTAAGTGAAAAGATGAATACAGACAGATGGTGATTTTTTGTGTGTGATTTTAGGATTTAGGTTAGTTTTTATAGGCTTTGTAAGAAGGAATTGAGACAAAGCAAGGCCAGCTAAGAGAAACTACTAGAATTATGAAGATTCACTTGAGCTCATTTTATTCCTTTTTCATCTTCATTTAGTCTGTTCATTCTCATCAATCTGAACTTACTGTGTTATCTCCCAACTATTGGTCTCAATTGTTAATTGGTTTGTGAATTGATCAATGAGGCTTTTACCTGAAAATTGTGAGATGTATTGTGACCAATGCTTACTTCCAACCATATACTTACTACAACCTTCTTTCATTTGTTAGGGTAGACTATATCCAGGTCATCAGTCATGACTGAAAGTCATGACAATCCTCTTCAACTTTTCTGGTTTCTTGCAGTTAGACCCATGTGACCCACTTCTGGCCAATGGGTTGAAAGCAAGTCCTGGGATATTTGTTGGAAACAATGAAAGATGTGTGCCGAGTACTGCTGCTTGTGTATCAGGCAGGAATTTTGTGGCTGCAGGGTATCACATATAAGCAAAGTGCTAAGAAAGTTGTGAGAATGTTGACACCAAACTGCACAGCTGCCAGCAGCCTCTCCCCTCCACAATTCTCATGCAACAAAAGTAGATGTTTTTGTACGACTTGTTTCCTGTTACCACCACGTAATCTTGACTGAGAGCTGTCTGAAAGGTTTATTTCCCTTTTGCCTGGTGACTCAAATGTATTGTTACTTCTTTTTAAATTTGCACATTCTTAGGCCTCAAATTTAAAGCAATGTTTTTTAAATGTGTTGGGTTCGGGGGGGGGGGGTCCCTTTAAGAACCTGGTTCCTGGGCTGAGGGTGCAGCTCAAATGTTACCCTTGCCTGGTACATACAAGGTCCACATTTAGTCCCTAGCACCACAAAAACAAAAATTTTGATCCTTGACCAAATAAAAGGACTGTGTACACTTTTCACAAGGGTGATCTTGGCTTATGCAAACATGTTAAGATTCAGCTTCCAACCTTGTATGTACCTACTTCTACATCTCTCCTGCCTGTTCCTGGGGAAAGACACTACCACCCATTTCTTCTCATGGACCACACAGCCTAAGTGCATGTCTGTGCTTCTGGTCTCTTACCTTTTAAAATCCTAATAGACCTAAATGCTTATCAACTTCTAATTTAGATGCAACAATTAAGTCCCCTAGTAAAGTTTACTTCATCTGAAGGTAATCCAAAGGCTAAGGTTTCACCTTAAAATTTTTTTGGTTGCTAAAGTCCGTTAATTGCCTGCCAGTCCATTTAAGTGGAATATTGAAAATGACAGGAAGGTGTTAAGAACTTTTTTTTTTCTGTACATGTAAAAGGTGTAATCCGAGGACTAATCTCTATGTTTAAAATGGGTTGAACAGAGCCTCTATTTTTCTAATAAACTATCTAAAAAGCTCTAATACACATATACAATGCCTGTAGCTACCCTTGGAGCACTACTAAAACTATTCTGAGATATCCATGACACTTAAAAGTTTAATGAAAACTTAGGGCCGGGGATTTAGTTCGGTGGTTCTGTTGCCTGCCTCGCAAGCACCAGGACCTTAGTTCGATCCCTGGTACCAAAAAAACAAAAACAAGTTTAATGAAAGCTTAAACTTAAGTGAAAAGTAGACCATTCTAACTAGAATTTCAGAGAAACTCCCTCATAGACCTGGCTTTGAGGATTAGACTATTCTTGATATCCTAACTTTTATGCCATACTTTGGAACCAACTCTGCAAGATCCAAGGAGAATGGACATCTTGCTTCCCATCTGGCTTCAGTGCTGACCATAGGTAAACACATGGCACTTAGCTAAAATATAAATGTCTTTCACTTTCTCCTTCCCCAAGTTTTCCCTCCAAATCCTTTCAGTATCAACAGAAAACTTGAGCTCTGCACCAACTTATCCATTCCTGCACTAAGCTTTGTTCCAGGTGTTTTTCAGGAAGCCAGACTGTCTTCAGAAAGCTCATGTTGTAAGTATGTTATAAGGCAAAATTCTTAGGTGACCTGATTTAAGGAACCAGTTGGGCAGAAGGGGAATTCCTGTAATACATCATTCAGAAGCTGAAGCAGAGGATCACAAGTTCACCTGGGACCTTGTCTACAAAACCCCTCCAGAAAGAGTAACATTTTATAAACTGTTGAGGAATACGAGTGTACCTCAGTGATAAGAAGTTTGGCAACCATGTGTGAGGCCCTAGGCTGACTTCAGCACCACACACACACAAACACAAAAAAGGAAAAAATTGATTTTCAAATATATAGTATACCTGACACCTTTGCTTTCAATACTTTAGATTTGCTTCATCTTTCTTCAGAAAGTACCCACAATGGGAAAAGACAGACCATTTAACCTATACATTCTTGGGTATTATGCACATTCTCAATTTAGTGAATGCTGACAAAATGGTAAACTACCTCTGGCCATGTAACTAGGAAAAACAGTTTCCTATAAACTGAGTATTTTTTTAGTTGTACATGCTAGAACAAGACACCTCTGAAAATATGCTTCTTAGGTTACTCCAGAACCAAAGAACCACAAGCAGAATCAAGAGACAAAATTTAATATATGCACACGGTTTTATATATAATGCAGCATCACACCATGTAGGGCATTTACTCATTTTATACATTCAGTTATGTTTGAAACACTTCTTAAGGCTACAAAACAGAACATAGAAAAATAAACAGGAATATATTCAACACCTTAAAAAGTGATATGATAAAGAATATAAAGTACTATTTTCCTTTCAACACTTCAAAAGATATGTATATATACTTTTTTTACAAGTAACATCACAAATGATCACATCTTCACATGCTTAAGTATTATCTGTACTCAGTGTAAGGCTATTATTTTCATACATGAATTTTTCTAGCTCTGTAACAATGCAATTTTAATCCATTCAAGTAAATTCAACCCCAAAGTTTCTGCTTCCCAGCATTAAGACATGCACCCACCCCTCTTAGAAGATTTCTAGAACTTTTATATTGGGGGAGGGGGGACTTTTTTAAACACCCCTATTAGTGGGAGAGTAAGTGGTTGACACTAGTAGCAAAGCCTTAGTTCTTTGATGTTAACACACTAGAAGGGAATCATTTTTAAGAATGTAAAAGAAAAACAACAGCATTTAGACAAAATAGGGAGCAAATTACAGTAAACAGAAACAGTGTAGCCAAATATGTATTCTCTTCAGCTACACAAGAATGGACTTTGTTTAGTACCCATATGTGAACAGACAAAAAGGTTATCTAAAACTGAAAGTAAAATAAATGAGGCAAAAATAAATATTGCTAGTTTCTAGGATGGCTGAGTATTTTCTAAACCAGAAATGGTTAGAAAGGAACTTTATTGCACCAAGTCAATCATAAGCAAGTTTGCAGTTCACAGGCATTTTAAGTTCACCCTTGAGTCACAAAGAAACAACACACTGCAAGAATAAGAACTGCATCAAATAAGCATCTAAGCACTGTGGTTTGAGAAAACCACCTCCTGTCAGATGGAGACAGGGTCTGAGCTTTAGGTCTACCATGAAAGTGGACTTATGGGTTACCAGGAAACAACATGAGGACTACACAGCTGTTAGCATCCTGCTGCCAAAGGGCTCATGGGGCAAGAATTGAAGATGTATTTGACAGGAAACAAACCTGAAGAATAGACATGCACAATACTAAAAGAATAGGGGGCTGGGCTCAAGCTCAGCAAAAGCACCTAACTAAATATCAAGTGAGCTTTGGTCAGTCTAAGCATTT